AACATGTCGATTTCCCGACTTCCAAATTTCGTGTCCTCGCACAATTCACAAGAATTTCTGATTGAGATTCTAATTATAGAGGTTTCGAAGCCTTCGAATCAAATCGGGCGAGTTCTATCGTGCTTCTTGCCTAATCATTCTTGCCTAACCTAACCTAACTTAATGTCGACTATCAGGATTATTCGTTCCTCGAAAAAGTCGAGGGAAAATGTGTCTTTGCTACAAATGTTCCTTGCTACGCGAAAGTTGTTATTATTACGTCTAATTATTTTTATCAATAACGGCGCGATAATTTCTCAAATCCTCGCAGACGATGAAATTAACTGGCAGAGAGACCATTCGACGTCAATGGTGCGAATTGACGAGAGAAAGGAAAAAGGTGAACGTTGACCATGTGTTTGACAAACCAGTTTGTACCACCTGGGCGAAATTTATTTCAAATAATAATTTGTAAATAAATTTTCGAAGCAATGTTCTTCAGTATTGAAAAGTAATGTTATTTGAAAAATTTTTTTCCCAGGTCTGGTTTATACGTTCGAACGAAGTATTTATTGACAAATGGATTGAAATGATTTTTTCGCGAACGAATTTCGTGGGGAAAACAATCGCGAATTTTACTAAACGCGTGGAACACGATTTTTCTACGAGTACGAATAATTTTTTGTTATTCTATGAAGAATCCACGGGATATTCCGTTAATCGTGGAAAATTTCGCAAATCGTTTCACTCGGTGATCGATCGATTCAGCGACCGATTAGATTATTCAAGTTTCGATGCTCGCGAAAATATCGTAAATCAGTGTTACAACAATCGAACCAGCATGTGTGTTATTCTACAACGATGTTGAAATGTTTTTGAAACTTCTTTTCTCTACCGATATCGCGAAATTCGAGCATTAAAATTTCTTCGTTTTATTTCGTTTCTTTTAACGAATTTAAGGAATTTTTTAAGTTTCTAAGTTTTTGACAAGCAACATTTAGGTTAGGTTAGGTTTCTTTTTTTCTGATAAATTTCTGCTTATCCGCGTGTTAACCCATTCTCTTGTAAGACGAATGCATCATCGTTGCAGTATCGCAGCTCTTACGTTATCTTTTACGTAATTTCATTATCTGTACGCTTCAAGTTCATCGTCGTGCTTTTCTAGCTGATTACGTATGCAGAATATGCATGCATCGTTGCGAATGACAACCTGTCCCGTTCGTCGATAGTCACATTTGGATCGTTTTCGCGAAAAAATCCTGGTTTCACACATGAAGCTAATAAAACATTTCCGCGTGTCGAAAACTGTGAAATCCGACAGTTTTTCGGGAAGATTGACAAAAATTGTTATAATCGACGACGAGATGGTCGATGTATTCTATTTTGCGATTTGAAAGAAACATCACACGAATGTTCTATGTTCCAATGAACACACACTGCCATCGCGTGCGTTCTAACAGCGACTTTATAGTTTCAGACGCGTGAATGTAATGTTTATTTTTCTATTAATGTTAACTGTTAGTTCTGTCATTTGATTATTTAGACTCGAACTGATGCTACAACCTCAAAATAGTTTAACACTTAATGCGTTCTAATAGCGACTTTATGGTTTTAAACGCGTGAATGTAATGTTTATTTTTCTAGTAATGTTAACTGTTAGTTCTGTCATTTGATTATTTAGACTCAAACTGATGCTACAATTGTAAAATAGTTTCTTAATTATTTAACACTTAATGCATTCTAACAGCGACTTTATGGTTTTAAACGCGTGAATGTAATGTTTATTTTTCGATTAATGTTAACTGTTAGTTGTGTAATTTGATTATTTAGACTCAAACTGATGCTACAACTGTAAAATAGTTTCTTAATTATTTAACACTTAATGCGTTGTAACAGCGACTTTATGGTTTTAAACGCGTGGACGTCTATTTTACGTAATTTTCGTATTAGGTTTCACTAACGTTTGATTTATCACAGTGTGCAGTATCAGTGTGAGTCTAAATAATCAAATGATAAAACTAACTGTTAACATTA